ATGTCTTAGCATCAATTTTTTTTTTTTTTTTATTAGCGTGGGTATCTTCGAGTTGCGAATACATAAAAAATTTAATTTTAATTTATTTTCGAATTTTTTTTTTTTTTTTTGTGTGTGTTCAATCAATCAATCAATCAATTTTTTTTTTCTTTTTGTGCGCAATTCGTTATAAGTTATGATAAACGAAATAAATTTAAATAAATAAGTAAAAGGTATTCCAATATATTAGTTTACTTCCATACACATGATTTTCTAAATCAATGTTTCAGTTTGATTTCTAAACGGGTTTTTTTTTTTTTTAAATACAGTTTTTCTTATTTATTTTATTTTATTTTATTTTTATTAAATATATTTGGGATTATTTTAAAAAAATATATTTAATAGAATGTAAAATCTTAATTAAAGGTTTTTTTTTAATAAGTGAAAAAACTAAAATTAATTTAATATTATTGGGTTTTTTTTTTTTTTTTTTTTTTACAAAATTTTTGATTTCAAACAATTAAATAGATTATTATTATTATTTCAATTATTATTATAAAGAAGTGTTAATAATTAAAAGGTAATTATTTTTTTTTTAATGGTTTATTGTGATTTAAAACAAAAGGGGGTGAGATATAATTTTTTTTTTATTAGTTTTTTTTTTTTCACTCATTTTCATATTTAATATTAAAATAATTATTATGGATTCAATTTACATTCATCATTTTCATGGGTTCAAATTTTCTTTTTCTTTTTTTTTTTTTTTTTGCACAAAATCCTCATGTCTTTTACGAATAAAATGTTTTTTAAAAAAGGAATAATAATACATTCAACATTGCAAATTTTTTTTTTTTATTTATTTATTTTAAATTCGATAAAATAATTATAAAGAAGCATGTCTACCATGACAATCGAAAGATTGTTTTACTTTAAATTATAATTATAAAATAATAAACATTTTTATCGAGTTTCAATTTAATATTATTTGTACTTATGTAATGGATTAAACCATTTCGATGTTGATTTATGCTTATTAAATTTATTTACATATATATATTTATAATACAGAAAATGGTTTCAAATTATACAAATAATTTATTAGGTTTGTTTAAAAAATAATAATAATAATTTCCTTGTTTATTTTACATTCGAGAAAAGTTATGAAAATAATTATGAGTACAATGTTTATACATTTTATTATTTAAAAAAAAAAATGAATTTTATTTAAATTTGATACAATTTTACAAAAATATTTATAGGAAGATTTAATAAATAAAATATAATATATAAATGAAAATACATAAAATTTTATAAACATTTTATTAAATATGTTAGAAATGGGGAAGAGAAAAAAAAGGGCCAAAGGGTTACATTACTCGATAATTTAAATTTTAAAATAATAATAAATTACCTTTCGAGTGTTTTAAATTACTTAAACAATTTTATTTAAACAATTTATTATTTAAGGATAATGATGATGATGATGATGGTATAAATATAAATTTTTTTTTTTTAAAGTTATTTATTACAAAATGGATTTTTAAGCGATTGTTATAAATAAACAGAAAATTTTAATTTTAGTCGCTACATCATCATGTACAAAGATGTTTCATAAATATCCAAAGTCTTTTTTTTTTTTTTATATTAAAAATATATTTTAAATTTTTTTTATGTCCAAACCATAATCATTAAAATTTTTCAAAATCACTCTACATGCAGGAGGTAAATAAATAAATAAATAAATAAATAAATAAAAAATAAAATTTTATTATGCAATCATTATTTATAAAATTTATTATTAAAAAAAATTGATTTTATTTATGTTTTAAAATTTTTTTTTTTTTTTTTTAAATGTTATAATAGTTTAAACATTTTAAATGTATTTTTTTTTTTTTTTTATGGCTTAAAAAA